AGAACTGTGAACCCTCTCAATTCGTCAAAATAAGTCTCAGTTTAGATCTTGATCTAAATACTATTCATGACAAACCGATGACTAAACACTAACAGAAACAATTGTCTTGCAGTTACACGTACATTACATTACCAAATGTGCATGTATAAATATATTGTCTGTTTTCTTCGTTTAGAAACTTTAATAACTGACAGAAATTAAAAAAAAACATTAATGTTTTATACACAAAATATAACCTTGGTCCTCTATTGTATACTACATGTATGGATGAGATCCTAATCTACACAGAGACAGCGACATCAGAACTGGAACTCTGACTGGAACCTCTTGCGTCTTTGTAATTTTGTAATTTTATTTTTACTCATCTGAGATTGCATATAGCGAAGTAACCAAGAGCACGAATACTTCGAACTTTTTAAAAAGAGAAATAGAGCATGTAATGTACATTTACGTTGAGAAAATTAGTTTGGATGCAACTTCTACATCTGCCGATATTAACTCCTTTTGTAATTTTTTCAAGAAAAACGGGAATTATATCCTAAATGATAATCACATAGGTCTATCTATTAAAAAAAAGAGTTTTAAGATACATATAAATTTCTCGTGTTATCAATAACTTAATTTTAATGTAGTGTGTGTGTGTGTGTGTGGGGGGGGGGGGGGTTGTTGTTAATTTAAGTGCAAATGGACATGCAGCATAAATGATAATTAAATTCTTACAGAAATTGGTCTTCAATTTTACTTGTCTAAAATATAAGAACCATTATGCATTATCTTCTACAAAAGAGGCAACATGACTTCTATTCTTAACCCCGGTTTGCATGTAAATTTGATGCAGGTTCCAGATACTGTCTACAAAAATTATCTTCTGTAAAATGCATAGCTTTTCACAATGCATGTATATGTTCTTCATTAATTCAAATTAGAAACTCACCACTTTGGGTCAAAGTACAACTTTTCAAGATACAGTCACTGCCCCATTTTGGAGAGTATAACTTCAGTTTGTACATTCAAATGTTACAATCAGCCACATCCAAATCCTTCTTTCCGAAAAACGATATAAATAATGAGTACTACATGTACGTACTGAAAAAAAAAACGTGTGAGACATTTTGTAAAATAGGTCCTATGGAAGCATAAATATTTTTATAAGTTTTTTATCTTATACTTTTCTCTATCATCTTTTGTAGTTCCACACTTGCCCCTGGGCTTTTGATTTGAACAAACTTGAATGTACACTCCACAAAGAGATTGACAATTTGTAACTCCCGGCCCTTACATGTATATTTCGAAAATATATTGTTTTTAAAATTCCTTCTACCTTTCTTTATAGTTATCATATTTCTTTGTTAGGAAATTAAAAATGACAGAAAAAGATATACAAATCTTAACCGATATAAGACAATATTCTGGTGTCCTCTACCACATTTAGATTATTTTTTCCTTCAAATTGAAAAAAAATGGTACAGGAGAAAAGTATGAAGTACATACTTTCTTGACACTCCTATCTATATTTTTACCTAGAAAACATTAACAAACTTGATACAATATTTCCATGTCTCTTAATAATGATGAGAAAAAAGACCAAGAATCAGACATAGTTAACAAATACCCCCAAATCGCTATTCTATAGGAAGGAAGTGGTATATATCAAAATATAATGACGAAACATTCATTAAAAAATTTACGATAATTATTATAAACATAGTAAACCATATTCGCAATTCTGTATTAAGTTTTGATTTATTCCATCAATTAAAATGAAAGATAATACACTGTATCATTATAATAATCACATATAGGGGAGCACCTGTTCTTGTATTTATAAGTAGCTATTATAATATTCTTAAGGCTGCGTACGAAATAATAAACTGTATATGCATTGTAGAAATCGTATCCCCTTACATGCAGACTATTAGAAATCCCAATGTTCTCGATTTATTAACCGAACGATTGAAAAAAAAGCATAGCCAGTATTTCTTCCATGTGCATGATTTGAACGCGTGTCAAAGAGGAAGTAACTTGGAAAAGGTCATTAGGTTCGTGCTGTGGAATGCAATGTAAACAAAACACTAGCAACTTGTTCAAAGAGAGGTAATCAGCTAATAGCGTTTGTAGGTCAAAGTTGCAAAACTGGAAAATTTTCTATCTCGATGGAATGCATCAATTTCTATGATCTTTATTAAATTTCAATTTGATACACTTGTCAAATCATGCCAATGTGCCTCTATAATTATTTGTTGTAACTGACAACATAAAATTATTGAACAGAGATTGATTCTTCTGCAAGATGGTTAGCATGATTGTCTCACTCTGTATATAGATAAAACATTTCATAACAATGCATGGACTAGAAATATTAAAAAAAAAAATCTTATCGCATACATGTATTAAGTATCTTTTACATGTTGAATTTGCTTTATAATTTCAAAAATTAATAGTTAAAAAAATATAATTTGACAAATCATATTAATCTCTGTATTTTCAAAAAATAAATAAATAAAGAATGAAAATTAGACAGGAAATTATTTTTGAATTGAAAGAAATGCACTATATAATATGATGTTATGTACGATCAATTATTTTGTTGTAGTCAACTAAAATTTTCTAGAAATTTCTTAGAAGTGACAATTTTTTTTTTTGGCTGCAATAATTTTATATACCCAGAACTTAATGTAAATAGATAGAGCAGGTGATATTTTCCCTAAGTTTAGATCCAGACCAGGACTTGAACCTGGATATTCCATTAGTGATTAATGGTTGCTTTACCAATTAAGCTATCTGGACTTTTGTAAGAAATTACCCTGCTCATGAATAAATCCCTTAATCTCATCTTATTTATTTTTATTCAGTATATTCTTTAAAAAATACAGTTCTTATTCATAACAACATTATTACAATTATATTTATTTATTTTAAAAAAAATTAAAAAATAATTAAATAAGTATTTTTACAGACATTAAACGTCATATTTCTACATTTACTCAACCATTTATTTCAATGTATGATTTTTAAAGACAATTCACTACATATAACTATGTTAGATTTTTTTTAAAAAGTTGAATTAAATATACTCCAACTTTATAAATAAAGTATTTTAGTCATTGCCATTACCTCAGTAAATTTATACATAAAATTGCATTAGAACATCTGTTGAACATGACAGATTTATTGCGGTGTTTTCTCGGACAAAATTAACTGAAGGAATTTATCTTAATTTCAATACTCTGATCACCAAAAAGTTTTTTTTTTTTGTTTGTTTGTTGTCTTTTTGTTCTGATTTGTTTTGTTTGTTAGTTGCTTTTTATTTCTCTAGGTTTAAATGACCCATCGTATTTGCTGAAGATGTAACATCGCATTTTGCTTAACTTAAGTAAAAAATTCAAATATACAAAATCAATTGACAAATATCTTTTGATATTACCTAAATACAACATGCTTGTCTGAGATAACTTTCCATTCTCCACATTTTGCAAACCTGTTTTTGTTAATGGCGTGCACTATGAAAATAAACAGAGATCGGGCAAACAATCACTTTGTTGTTCACAAACTGAATATCAGTAAATTCCTCTTCATGTTTCTAATTTGAAAGAAAACAAACTGAAGATTCGTCCAGTAGGCAAAAGTACATGTATGAATTTCCTTGTTTTCCAGAAAGAGTGAATATTTCCAACCCACGGAAATCTCCAACGATAATGCTTATGAAATATCTGTACACATAATTGTACACAAAATACCAATGTCTTTCTTAGTACCTGGAGATTATAAGAAACGAAGCAGTACTAAGTATATTTTCAATCGCCATTACTTTTCCTCTAATGTAGGTCGGGCATGCGTACATCTCGTATATACAAGCGACGAAGAAAATTGAGCACAAGGATTTATAAAAGCAACGATTTCTTTTGATTTCTAGATATATATAGTGCTGATAATTTTATTGCTGTGAGATATTGCGTTTTTACATAAACACTGAGAAGAACTCTTTCATATATATCAAATTTAAGAAAGAAAACGACGAAAAACGGCAGTTTGCCTCTATTGGCACATGCAGACGACATCGATATATACGACGGAAATGGGTACCCTCATAAACATCGTTCAAATAATATGTTATTATTAACATATAATATTTTAATGGTACTCAATGAAACGACAAAAGATTGTTCTTTCTTTTGGTATAAATATCAGGTTGCTTCGCGTTAGAATAAAGAGTTAGTTGAGATTTAAAAATCAAGCAGACCATTAGCGGCAAACGAAATTTTGCACCTATGTTCCGTTTGCCTCCATTGGCACACACAGACGATTTCGTTTGCCGCTATTGGTACAGATAGATTTATATATATATATATATATATATATATATATATATATAATAATAATAATAATAATAATAATAAATAAGTAAATAAATAAATAGTTAAATTGCACATTTACAATTCATGAGATTTGAAGAATGAAGTTGATTTCGGTTGTCGCCGACTTTCAGTACTCCCAGTACTGCGATTCCAACTAAGAAGTTACCAATATGCATGTCTGACCGCTTATCGATAACTGTTTTCTAGGGATATTTGATGAATGAATATACAAAATGCATAGAAAGAAAAGTTTAACAAAAGAAAAGAATATATAGGAAATTTTCTAAATTTCTACTTTCGTTTTGAACTACGTACGCCATGACAGGTGTGTTTGTAAAGTGCTTTGGTGTGTGTCGTGATGAAAGAATAAGGGTAAGTGTATCAGTGGAGAGAACAGCCAACTCAATTAAAAAAAACCAACCATTTCTTTTATAAAATTAACCTATGATGTTTGTTTAATGTTGATCGTTTTACCGATAAAGCAAAAGAGCCGATTACAAGAAATTCTGCCTTTTTCGGAAGTCAAACATAACAATTTAAACAATAAAAAAGACAATTTGCAGCATTTTCCATTGAGAAGGATATAGTGGTCGTTTTTTTTTATATTAATGTCCTCTTTTTCAATCTTAATTTCTGTAGATTTGGATTTAGTAATGAAAGGACAGTATGGCTTTAGGCATACGCGGAGATTTATCCTATGCATTTTCCTGGACGTTATTTTTTGTACGGATTCTTCGATATGATAGTGTAAGTACTTACTTTTTCATATTACTGCGATGTGTTTCTTAAATTTGCAAACACATACAGATCATTTGGGTAGATAACAAACAGGCCCGTGGGAATGAAATATATGGAGATAACGAACAGTATTCAAGCTCAAAAGTCCATTATACAATACAAAATAGGAGCAGAGCAAACACGGACCTCCAAACATCAGAGGTGGGATCAGGTGCCATGGAGGAGTGAGCATCCCCTGCCGACCGGTCACACCCGCCGTGTGCTCCTTGTCATGATCGGGAAATAACTGAAAAATCCGTCGACCATTCAGTGTGTAAATAATGGCCTAACAATTAGTATGAAAAATGTCAGTCAGCATTTGACTCAATGATAAATTGTATTTGCTGACAAGGTCATCGTATCGACCATAGAACTTACGAAATGATAAACGAGACAGCTGATATTCTTGTTTCATCAAGTTATTTGTCAATAATTTACCTCGTTTTAGAAATTGTACATACGTAGAGCATGCTCTTGCGTATCGAATCAACTGAGAGATATATACCCCGTATGCAGGTGATGAAGTTATATTGCTGCATAAGTAAGGGAAGTTGACGATTGAAAAGTTAAAGTCATCACGTTTATCATAAAGCTTGGTTGTAATTAGGAAGCAATTTCACTTTGGGGAGGGGGGATCACACCAAAGTAATTTACGACAAAAATGATATTGACAAAACCATTAGTAAAAGATAGTTGCATAAGTATATGGTTTGAACTTGAACTTTATTCTTATAACTTACAAAACAGTGAAGAGAAGATATGTACTGTACAAGTATAGTCGTCCTTGGCTTTGTATTTCGTCAACAGTACGTTTTGTTACAAACTTTTTTCAGTGAAGAAGAAAAAATAATCTCTCCTTATTCATCTTGAAAATAAATATAATCTCTCCTTTACTGGCATGAAAATAAATAATTTGAATCGAAAAATTTTTCCAGCCCCCCCCCCTCCCTTTTCAGAGTCAAATGGTCGTCGCCCTAATCGTAGAAAAGACAGTGCAAAAACAAAGTAAGAAAAAAAGGATTAGTACAAATTTTATTGTTTGCACTCAATTACTGTTAGCTATTAAAATTTAAGTAAAATACGTTTTAATAGCTGCTATAAAAAATTAGAGTGTCACTTTCATTTATTGCAATTTTTTTATTCGTTTTGTCCATTTTTTTACGATTGAAAATCTAGAAAAATTGTTAAGTCGTACGAAAATTAGATCACCAAAAAATTATCTCCCTTGCCGTGAACAGTATTTCAACCAATGAAATAATTGAAAATTTTCACTTCGTGTATTTTCTACCAATCACAAAAGAGAAGAAGTGCAAAGTCCGAAGACTGTAAAATTCTTCAACTCTGTATACCGTCTTCCAAGGAAGACGGTAATAATAAACAGAAAATATTACATGCCTGAAGAAGGGGTAACAGAGTATGTCAACCAAGAGAGCCAACTTTCTCAATTATAATATCTTACAATTTACAAATTTTGCTAAGTTGATTAGTATTGGTTACATTAAAAAGCATTTCAAATTTCAAAACATTTGGGTTCAAATGAAAATATTTTGACAAATACATAACTCTTGAGTTCTTTATAGACACATCAGTACATTTAAATAAGTAATGAAATTCATCCCCAATTTCGTTGCTGTTACATAATTTACAAATTCTATTTTCTCTAGGGATGTTTAACCATCTACCAGTCTCAATTGGTAATTTTGTATTCCCAGTTCTAAATAAACAATATTTCTTGGATTGATTAGGAGGCAAATTCAACAAATAGTCTTCAAAAATTAATGATTTTTTTAAAAAAAATTCTATAGTTCAAACCTTTTGGGGAAGTTTGTACATCACTAAACCATGTTTGCTTAAACTGATCTAAGAGAGTGGTATATACCTTATTTTTTAGCCAAGATATATTAATTGAATTTTCGTACCACACATAAGTCAATCCACATTCATTTGAAATTTTCTGAACAAAATCACACCATGGATTCTTACATATCTTCAATGCACATAAAAGTTTTGCAGACAATTTAGAGCTCGGAGCATTAATAAGTTTACCCCAAAATGAGATCATTCTAACTTTGATATCAATTAATAAAGGGTGTCTACCAAGTTCTCCGTACACCATAAAGTTTGGTGTTGATGTTTTCAAGCTTAGAAAATGTTTACAAAATTTTAGATTTAATTTCTCTATTAGTTTAGTATTGTGAAAACCCCACATTTCACATCCATGTAGAAGTATTGGTTTGATAATTTTATCAAACGTCTAATTTACAATCCATTGATAAGTTATGTTTTCTACATCTACCAATAACACTATACATTGCTTTAGTAGATTTGTCATATAATTCTTTGGTATTTAAATTGAAAGAATTACTTTTACAAAATGTAACACCTAAATATTTAAAGTTGTCAACTATATCAAGCTTGGAGCCTTCAAATGTAAAAGAGCTATTGTTTTTATCTTTACCAAATATTACAACTTTTGTTTCCTTACTATTAACCTTAAGGTGCCATTTCTTGCAATATTTAGAAAACGTATTTAGCATGTACTGAAAATCATCTGCATTTTCTGATAACAAATTAAATATATGGAGATAACGAACAGTATTCAAGCTCAAAAGTCCATTATACAATACAAAATAGGAGCAGAGCAAACACGGACCTCCAAACATCAGAGGTGGGATCAGGTGCCATGGAGGAGTGAGCATCCCCTGCCAACCGGTCACACCCGCCGTGTGCTCCTTGTCATGATCGGGAAATAACTGAAAAATCCGTCGACCATTCAGTGTGTAAATAATGGCCTAACAATTAGTATGAAAAATGTCAGTCAGCATTTGACTCAATGATAAATTGTATTTGCTGACAAGGTCATCGTATCGACCATAGAACTTACGAAATGATGACTTTAAACGAGACAGCTGATATTCTTGTTTCATCAAGTTATTTGTCAATAATTTACCTCGTTTTAGAAATTGTACATACGTAGAGCATGCTCTTGCGTATCGAATCAACTGAGAGATATATACCCCGTATGCAGGTGATGAAGTTATATTGCTGCATAAGTAAGGGAAGTTGACGATTGAAAAGTTAAAGTCATCACGTTTATCATAAAGCTTGGTTGTTAGATTACCATTAACGTCTTTTTCAAGTAAAATATCCAAATATGAAACAGATGTGTCAGACTCTGTGGTATCTTTTATCTCAAGTTCACCAGGATATATCGTATCGACATAAGAATGAAAATAGCCATTGTTAATTGACAATACGTCGTCGATATATCTAAATGTCGAGTTGAAGGTCACAGCAAGTGTTTTCTTCTTTTCACGTACAAGATTTTGGACAAATTCTGCTTCATATGAATACAAAAAAAGGTCTGCTAATAACAGGGCGCAATTGGTACCCATAGGAATTCCAATAGATTGTTGGAAGACCTGGTCTCCAAAAACCACATAGATATTGTCAATCAGAAACTCAAGCATCTTTTTAATGTCAACTTCAGAGTACTTGTGTGTACAATCAGAATGTTTTTCAACAAAATAATTTTGCAAATGACCAATGACAAGGTAAGTATATTTACGAGTTCCATTTCTATTGAAAAAGCAGCTGTCAATGATATAAAAAAGCCTGGACTTTAATTTATCGTGGGGAATGGTTGTGTATAAAGTTGAAAAGTCGTAAGTTTTTAAGCTGTTAATTTTGGTAAAATCTTGTGATTTCAAATTTTCCAAAAGTTCCTTGGAATTTTTAAGTATCCACATCTGATTTACACCACTTCTCGAATATATTGTTGCACAGTACTCTTGAAGTTTCTCCTTCACCACTGTTAATATCTTAGTGAGGAGTAAAGATAGAGGCTTGGTTGAACATTTACTGGAACCCGCTATGTATCTTTGTTTGTAAGGATTTTTATGAAGTTTCGGAATCCAATATAAATATGGTAATTCAAATTCATTTTGGTTGTTTGGAATATTAAAAATATTCAAAACTGACATATGATTTTGAAGAATTTCTTCCTTAGAAAGGGAACTATGAGTATAAGTTGGATTACCACTTGTAGAATTAAATCCAAGTTCCTCTAAAATACATGTAATATAATGAGCCTTACAAACAAAGACAATTTTGTTACCTGCTTTGTCAGCAGGGACCAGTACGTACTGATCATGTAATCTATCTAATCATGTAATCTATATCTATTTAAATATTAAAAATTAGATAAACAAACTTTATTTCACTTAGGAAGAATAAAACATAATTAAATTTCAGCATCAATCATATTCTGTGCATAGCAACCAAATGATGTCCATAGCAACAGAGCTGAACAGACATTTTGTTATTTATGAATTATCAAAAACTACTGGAGATACTCCAATGGACTACCGTAGTTAGGAGAATTCAAACAAATAATCTAGTAGTGTGCATCCCTAGATGCAATATTTGTGTCATTTTGGTCTGATACCTTCATTATCTTCTTCAATCATAATTATGATTGACCAACAGAACTGTTATCTTTCCCCTTATTATGTATTACCATGGAAACAACAGTAAGATTAGAAAAAAACTGCTTCAATTTTAACAAATTTCTAAATATGTTTTAACAAAAAGTATACCGATATCAGCTTCAGCAAAGTATGAACTTATTATTAAAGGTATGTAGTATACAAGAAAATATAAACGCAAATCTAAATATACCAACTAGGATCTGTTGCCATGGCAGTACAAACTTGTACAGTTTTACAGTTTAAAAAGTTGAAAATTACCTCTCTAGTTTAAACTTATATACACGTATATCTAATCAGCAAGAAGTTGAGCATTAAATTGAAACTGAATCATTCAAAACACAGGCTGATCTACAAGAATGACATATAAAATTGAGATGCATTTTTATTTCTTTTTTTGGAAAAAAGATTAAATTTTAAGTTTTTACACTAAATAAAGGTTAAAAACACACATCAATTTTTAAGGGAAAAACCTTCAATTTC